TCCACGATCATACAGCATATGCATGCAGATACATATATATCTGTATCTGTTTAAAACCTTAAATTATCAACACATGTACTAATAATATTAGTCAACTTGAGATAATGAAAACTGTCTTGAAATAAAATTTACACATTTAAAATTTACTATGTAAAAATAAATAAATAAATACAATTTACTATGTGCTTATTATGTGCCAGGTGGAAAATCAAATACTTTATATGAATTTTTATTTGAATTAGCTATTCAACTATGAGAAATCAATTTTATACCTATTATAGAAGTGGACTAGGTACACAGCATATTTTAAAGGTAAACAGGAAAACAGGTATTTCAGATGTTCAAAATAGAAAAAGTCCAATTACCTAAGTATGATATTTAAGGTTCCATAGGGTGTGAATGCATACACATATACACAAATATATTTACTTTTTATACAGTTCATATTTTGCATAGCCTATGTTTGCATGCCTAGATGTAGATAACTTCCTTAGTTAAATATGAGAAAAATGAAAAATGTACTTTTCATTAAGACAATAGTGTTAAAACAGGAAATGAGGAATCAACATTTTCATATATCCCCTTCTATAATGCAACCTCCATTAATTTCAACTACCTCTGTTGAAATTGAGTAGACTATCTCCACTCAGTTTCAACTTTCTCTGTAAGACAGAACAAATGAAATTCTCTGGTATGCCTCAAAACTTCATGAGGCAGAAATTGCCTACTGCCAGTAAAGTAAGAAACATTAACTTGGACCATATTCATGCTAAGGACAAAGGGAGGACAAATTATTTGTTAGGGAAATTTGCTGATCAAAGGCAATAATAGATCATTTTAATGTACAATATGAGTACAATTTTATTATTATTACTTTATATTTGTATTTTCACTCTTTTGGAAGAGATGCTTATTCATCAAATGTAATCCTCTGAAATGTGGACTAGAACAAGGTAGTAGATTGAAACAAGCAAAAAAAGTTAAATCTTTCAAAATTCATGAGCTGGATATCAAGCCTCCTCTTGCAAAGAGGTTTTAGGATTCAGAGATTGGTTCCTTCTATTAGAGACACAATTTTAACTGCATTCATTATATCTTGCCTAGACTTCTACAGTAGTTAAATGGTGTCTGCTTGCATTCCTTCCTTCTTCCTAAATCATTTGGTACCTGAAAATCTATAATATCTTTCAGAAGCCTGAAATTTCTATGCCTTGCCACTATGTACAGATTGGATAAAGTCTGGAGTATAGCATTTTACGTATTTTAGAAGACCAGAAATGATTGAGGCTCTGGTTATCTGTCTAGGTTTTTCAATGCCACCATTGGGTTGGGCATTTTCTCTGTCTCTAGCCACACCGAGCTGGGGGGCTTGGCTGGAGGGAAAAATGATTACCAGTTATGAAGGGGCTTGTGGGGCAAAAGCACATGAACCCAGAAGTATGTAGTTAAATATTAAAAAGGGACCCATGGGGCAAGTGTACCTACTCCATGAATCCAAAGTGCTGAAAATAGGAGGGTTTCAGATTAAGGAAGCATGCCAGGTTTGGTCACTATCTTTCCCTCTCCCAAATAAATCGGTTAGATTAATTTAAAGAATGTCACACAGCAGACCTCCCGGTTCTTTGACAACCGAACTGTTTTTCTTTTCTATGTCTTTGCGCTAAAAGCTAGAGAGCCCTCTGTTCATGGGCAGAGAGACATTCTCATGGTGGGTGCTCTTAGCAGGATGGTCACTGTGGGCCTCTCAGTGTTCAGACCAAGTCTTATCTCCAAGTAATCTTTTCATCTTCCACACTACCATGATCACACACTGCAACACTGCACTTGAAAGAATTCCTCTATTTAAATTCCCCCTGTCCAGAATCAAGATATTATGCATACTGCTCTTGTAGTTTTGAATTCCCAATGCCTCTCAGTTTTTAGATTTCCACTTAGTGGTTAATTTTCTATAAAATTGGTAACTGCTCAATTTTGATCACGCTCCCATATCATACACACAGCATAGGAAGGATTTTTCCCTAAGTACAACAGTTGATTCTGGTCAGTCATAGCACATTTCACATTTCAATTAATGATTATTTAACAGGCATTGTTTCTTTAATGTTTACCTCTGATAACTAGAAACCCCAAGACAGCATCATTTTAATTTGGCCACTTTTACATCTTACCGAATATAGCAAAAATGCTTAATACTGTTGATCACCGGATAAAATGCAGATATTTAGAAAAGGCAAGATAGAGGCTACTAGACTCACAGAGCAAAAAACAGTATTTTAAGAAGGAAGAGGAGACAAAAGGATGAGAAAACCCAGTAGCCTAAAGATAGGAAAATTCTCATACATCAGTAGTTCCTAAGTGCTTCGTGTATATTAATCCAGCACAAAAAAAAGTACTGTGTTGTCAAAGACCCTAAATTAACATTAAAATTTTAAAGAATATTTGGCTTTTATTTTTAAATAAGCAAGAGCTCTTTTAGAATAAACTTAAAGTATTTTCATTACTGTAATTGTTACAACACTGGTATTTCAAGGGATGGTCTTCATATCTTTAGAAAATTAATTTATGTGATGCCTTATCTAACAATACTAGGTAAATAAATAATAAGAGTGAATATATGTTTCTAAGTGGCTGACACTGTGCTAAAAATATTTACTGTTCTAAGGTTCACAAATACTTTATGAAATGCATTTTACACATTGCCCTCATCTTAACAATAATTCCAAAGCCTTTGCCCAAAGCCATACATTGGTGGGGTAGAGAAAGGAGAGGAAAAGTTCACAAAACACACTGTGATCTGGGAGCCGCTCCCCACTGACACTGTGGTACTGAAGGCTGAATCGAAGGCTTCACTACCACTAAGCTCCATCTCAGAGCTGTTCATGCATTCACTTTAATTAAATAATTCATTTTTGTTTCCTTTTATTTTGTGGTACTAAGGACTGGACCTAGGAACTTCACACTGATCTACATTCCCAACCCTTTATTATTTTATTGTATGTTATTTTTATTTTCCACATGGTCTTATTAAATGGCCCAGACTGGATTGCGAATTGCAATCCTCCTGCCTCAGCCTCTTAGAGTGCTGAGATTATAAGTGGGCATCCCGATGCACTTGTTGCTATGAATAAAGATCTTATTTAATTGCCAGGCTGACCTTGAACTTGAGGTCCTTCTTCAGGCTTATGAGTAGCTGGTATGACAGCTATGTGCAAATGCACCCAGGTTGAAAGCAATTCTTTTGAACACTCCCCAAACAGTAGTCTTTAAGGCTCCCAAGAGAATGATCAACTTTGTTTGATCAATGATTACGATTTTCTCAGGGAGAATTATTGTCCATTGGGGAATACCACAGATTATTCTATACATTCTCTCATTCAATCCTTGTTGGTATGTATCATCATTATTTATACTTTGCAAGCAATTAAATTGAGACTCAGAGAAGGCAGCTTACTATGTTAAATTGTGGATCGAAAATTCTGTGCCCCAGATCCATTGATTCCAAAGACTAAGCTCTTACTCCCACAAGAGTTTACCTGTCTATTAAGAGAAAAAGCTTTCACATGAGTGTAAGCCCAGTGCCACTGACAATTTGTAATGATTAAATAGCTCTTAGGGTTGCCCTGTGCAATGCAGGGTTCTTCACACACTGTTGGTGTCTATCCAAGCAAGGGGTGCCAGTAACAATGCTCCTATCACACATGAAAACCAACCTGGAAGCCTGCAGACTTTACCTACCAGGCAGAATTACTCTCAGCTGAGAAACAGCATGAAGTAGTAAATTCTTCCATTGGAGATGTCTGGATACATTCTCATTGCTTGATCTGAAATTCCAAATTTTACTGAATAGAGCACGTCTGTCAAAATATACTTTTTATATCCAAATTACAATATATAGTTTAGCAGGAGAAGATTTGGCTATCTTTAAGTAGGTCAGAAAAGGTTCTGTCATCATATGTCATTGATAATTTATTTAATGTCTCCCTAAGCCCAAATTATTACATTAGACTAATGATGGTTCATTCTCAAAATTATGCACATTAAATTAAAATATGCCTGTTAGCTAGATATCTGGATTAAAATGAATGCCCAATTAATGTTAATGCTCCCATTATTATTATCATGAGAATTATTTATGTAATTTTCCCATTTTTAAATTCCTTTGTTTCTTAATTTCTAGAACTATTATGCTTCATTGCCCAATTCCCTGAAAACATTTACTAACATCATAACTTCAAATGCCAAACCAAACCCATTAAGGAGATATAATGTTAAATAATGGTAAAGCCAATGGAATTTAAAGATTAAGGCACAGTGACAAAGTGTGGAAAAGGAACAACTGACAGTTAAAACCCAAATATTTTTAGATAGGGCACTTTGCAGTTATAAATAAGATGCAAATAGTGAAAATTCTTTTTACATGAGAAAAAGTAGTACTTTCTAAAAAATAGTACAGATTTTTCTTCTCCCATTTCTTACACGCCAATATGACACTGCTTATAGAAAGATACATACCGAATATAAGAAAAATATATCTAGACTCTGCTATTATGTAATCCACAATCCCACTCCATGGACCTGTTCATTTGCTCAAGGCTAAACAATATGCCCAGCCTGGTTACTTAATTTATACCCCCTTGAAACATAGATCTCTTCCATTGCCTGCACTTTGCTGTTTTGCATGGCTCATGCCAGAAAACCATCTCAATATTTGCCCATGCCGGTCATCTGTGCTGAAACGTTACAAAGAGCTAGTGCCCAGCAAAGAATGTGCTAGCATGGTGCACAGTTTCAGGCTGCCCTAAAGGATATAATGAGCACAGCAAGTGAGGAAAATTGTCTTCATGCTCTGAGAAAACAGCTTCCATAATGGTCTCAAGAAAAAAAAAGCCGTAAGACTTAGGTTTGGTTTTCAAACACATTCTTATCTCCATTTAAGAAAACAAATCAGGCATCACGGCATAGGAGAAGATAAGCATTTTTTGAATCTTAACTTGGTCATTTTAGATGAAGAAGGAACTCGAAAGACAACAGCAGCTGCTGACATAAGGATCTAAAGGTCCTGTCCAACTGGAGCATAACCGTAAGTACTACTCTATAATAACTGTTTTCCCCCATGACTCTTTCAATTTAAGCTTTGTTCTCCCAAGAACTTGTGATACATCAAAGTATTGGGGTGGGGATTTAGCTCAGTGGCAAAGCGCCTGCCTGGCAAGCGCAAGGTCATGAGTTCGGTTCCTGGTACTGGAGAAAAACAAAAAAAAAAAAAAAAAACTCCAAACAAACAAAAAGAGCATTCACTGGTGTCTGCTGATTCTTCCTTTCATGGGCACAGAAAGACTATACCTCACAGGCCCCTCGATCTCCACGACTACCATGCTGGTTAGGTGGGGCCGGATATTGTAAACAAATGCATTTTAAGGAGAATAAAAACCTGCCCGTTGTAGGCTATGGCAGACAAAAGCCCCAAAGGCACCTCCAGCTCTCTTTCTCTCTATGATAGCAAAATATCCAGAAGCCACACATGGAGAAGGAACAGCCATAACACAGAAGCAGATTGGCCACCTGCTGTGTCCCTCGAGAACGGGATGCCCTAGTGTACCACAATGCCCATAGTTGACTTTACAAGAAAAAACAAAACTTTTGTTTGTGTTAGTCTGCTGACCTGTCGGGGGGGGGGGGTTGTTATTACACCAGATTTCAAGAAATTCTAACTAATCTAACACTGCACACAGTGGCCTGTACCCAGTTAATGCTTCATAAGTAGTTCTTTTAAGACCAAACGTGCAGAGGTGAAAACACTTCCTGGGTATAGATTACAAGGCAAAAACAACCATTCACCTTGATTTATTTTAAAGAGCAACACCTGCATATTAAGCACATACAGTGTATCAGCCCTTGAACAGCCCAGGGGGTATCTCACACAGTCGGTACTGCTGACTAATCACAGACAGGTTATATTCATGTACAAAGATTATTACCACCATTAAATAGCCTACATATGTTAGGTTCACAGTGAATGGAAAAATCCATCAATCTATTTGGAAGGGAGTGGATCTGTAACTTTTATTCCATTCCCGTAGCTCTTCTGCCTGTAATTTAAATCACTATCTTGACATAATTCAAGGTACTTTGAATAAGAGAATGGCACTTTCATGGCACCTACCACCATTTTCAGCGTGGCAAAGATTAAGTAGCTCTGAGAGTTCATAGACCCTAGCAGGCATCACGGCATAGGAGAAGATATCTTGTGTATAACTTCACTAAGTAAATGTTGGTTTCATTTCCTCATTCCCTTTGTTTCATTCTAACACTCCTTTCTACCATGCCCATATTTATTTTTAAGGTCTTGTTTGTATTAAACAGAAAAAGGGAGGAAAGAAAATGAATCCTAGACGATCATCAAAACCCCTAGCCAATTGAAATATCTATGCCCATGCAATTGAGGTTTTTACTTGTGGTTTGGAATTGACAGCATCATTTAAAAGTAATCAACGTTTAGAAACATTCTGCTCTGCCAAAGATGGAAGGTGAGTGGAAAGAAGCTAAAGGGAGCTAGGCAATGACGGACTCAAGGGCAAAGCATGCAGATGGAGCTGTGAACAGCCTCAGCTGAATAGGGGTCCATAAAAAGTTACTCTCATTGTATAGTAGTCAGCTTACCTTGCTGGGACACAAAGCACAACACCCACAATTTAAAAGAAGAGTGAATTAATCTAGCTTAGTGTTGCAGAAGTCTTTCGTTTGGGGTGGGCTGGCTCCAAGACAAGTCTTTTATGGCAGAAGGCCATGGTGGAGGAAAGCCACTTAGTTCGTGAATGCAGGGAAGCGGCACCAGGGAGGAAGGAACAAGGAACCACCCAGACCACAAGTCTGTGTCTCAGTGTCCCATCCAGACACATCCAGAAGTGTGCTCCACCAATCCCCAGGGCAGATCCCAGGGCCAATCCAATTTGACACTTCATGCGAACTGCCATATAGGCTCAAAATTGTTTCCTGGATTTTAATTAACTCAGACAAATTTATCACCAGTGGTGCATTGCTTTGTTCAGTGGAACTCAAAATGATCCAAAGTTTATACAACAGCATCAGTTCTGTGCTGTTTATTTGTGTTTTTAAGACATTATCTTCCAGAGGTGGGTGATCAAGGAGATGGAGTGGTATTCTCAAATTGTTTACTCATCTTTAAGGCAGTCTCAGCCAACTCAGTGAATATCTAGAAAGAATAAGTGCCTCACACCACAGTTCCTCAAGTGCAATCCTGCTCTAACCAGTTTTCTGACATATTCCTAAATACTTTTAAGTTGATTTTATTTCCTGTTATGCCCCAAAAACTTGCCTTTGGCTTTAATAATGGTTAATGATCTTTGCTTATCTTCAATGTATGGAGAGTTGATTTTGAAAGTTCCTTGACACCAGACAATACTCCTGCCCTCTCTTGTCTGGGAAATAACACCAAGTGGGATGATTAGGAATCAGAAAGGCTGCAGAATCATTTATTTTAATGGCTAAGCACCAGCATATCAAAGTAGAGCTGTGAAACACTTCTTGTTTATGACTAATCAATACTCCAAAGCAACTATCATGACAAAAATTGATTTGGAAAAATATTTAAATTCACTTAAGTAAGAAAAATGAAAAGCCTTATCACGTCTGAGTGTCAACATTGGAAAGAACAACACTATAATGAGGACATGAGGCAATATGGAGACTCATTTCTCGGGGGATTTGGAATTACTTCTCTTCCCTTGCCTAACTAATGTACCTACTGATGCACTGTGATTCATATGCTAAAGAGAAATGCTTGTATAAAAACAATCTTTCCTTCTGCAGAGTCCAGGGAACTAGGCCCATTGGGGAAAAAAATAAAATTTGAGAGAAGATCAGCAGATTACACCACCCTGACATGGCATTGCTCTCCTCCAACTGTCTCACTCAAATTCCAAAGAATGACATTTTAATCCCACCATGGAGCTAGGTGAACTAACCAACATCTGTCCATTTTGCTCTCCATTTATATACACACAACATGAAAAAGACTTTCTCTAAGGCTATTTCGCTGTCTCTAGGTGCAAAGGACCATATTCCAAATCTCTATTAAAATCCTTCCAGCCAGGGATATAGCTCAGTGGCACAAGCACTTACATGGCAAGCGCAAGGTCCTCAGTTTGATAGTCAGTATCAAAAAAAAAAAAATCCCTCTTCCTTCACAACTGTCTTCCTAATTCCCTGGCAGAACTGACTTCAACTTCTTTTACATTTTTATTATTATTATAAAGCATATTATTAATTTTAATTTTTTTTGTCTTTTTGAGACAGGGTTGCACTGTGCAGTTCAGGCTGGCCTTCAACTCACTTTGTAGCCCAGGTTGGCCCAGAATTCAAGACAACCCTCTTGCTTCAGCCTCCTCATTTGTGGGATTTCAGGTGTGCACCACCACACCCAGCTAGCATATTATTTCTTTTTTGTTTGTTATTTTGTTTGTTTTTCTTCCGGTACCAGGAATCAAACTCATGACCTCGCACTTGCCAGGCAGGTGCTGTGCTGCTGAGCTAAATTCCCAGCCCCGAGCATATTATTTCTTAATCTAGTATTTTCTAAGATCAATCTGTCTTCTATGTATATTTTCTAAATATAATTTGCCTCTACAGGCAAACTGAGAATACCTGGTAATGATGACCTTCACAACACAAAGCAGTTCACTATTTTGGAAGCCAGTAATCAATGGATACTTACGAATTTAATTTAATATTTACAAAAGAAAAGCAAATCTCCCATGATTCTACCTGTTCATATTTATTTTAGAGAAGTGAATGATTTCACTCAATAGAAATATGCAATGAGCAGAGACAGAGAGGAGTTAGGACATTTGGTCACATATCCAAAGGTCTTAAGGCAGCATTCAGCATTCAATCTACTGCCTTATTTAATAAGCACACTATTAAACAAGACTTCATAAAGAAACAAGTAGCAACTCTACTGCCTTGCCAATATGTAGGCTCTCTGTGTCCTGTTTATTTCTAATTCTAATCATATGAACTCCCACTTTGCTTCTCTATCTGCCAGCCAGAAAACTCAGCTATGCAGTAGAAGCTGAGTGCTTTTTCAACACTAAATATAAAACCAGAAAATGTAGAAAGCTCTTTTATGGCGTGGCAAGGCAGTTGATTACCAGGCTGGATGGTAATCCCCTGATATAAGAACCCCAACAAAATGAGTGTTTCTTGGGCTGGGGATTGAGCTCAGTGGCACAGTGCCTGCTTGGAAAGCACAATGTCATGAGTTTGATTCCAGGCACCGGAAAAAAATAAATAAATAAAATGAGTGTTTCGTGGGAAGCTTTTCAGCTGACCCTTGACCATACCTATTAACTTGATCACATAACACCTTACTAGTCAAAGTGCTAGAGAACAAAAGCTCAAGCATCACTTGTGAGTCTTTAGGAAATTCAGAATCACAGAGCTCATCCCAGCCATGTTGAATGAAACCTGGCTCTTTCATAAAACCCCCAAGCAAGCTATACAGAGATAATATTTTAAGAAGCATGGGCATTGGGTACTCTAGCTGCAATATTTTATTTGCTTCCTGGTCATCTCTTTGCTCTAAGCTATTATTTTATTGGAAAAATGAAAGTATCTGCTACCCATATCCTCTCCTGCTCTACCCATCAATGTCTCTTCATGTATCCATCTATGTGTTTTTTTTGTTTGTTTGTTTGTTTTTTTTTTTTTTTTTTTTTTTTTTGGAACTGGGAATCAAACTCAGGACCTTGTGCTAGCCAGGCAGGTACTGTACCACTGAGCTATATTCCCAGCAATCTATGTGTTTTAATATGTAGCATAAGAAGTTTTCTTTCATAAACATTATGATATTTGATTTGTCTGATGTCCTGTGAATATCACAGCACAGAGTTGCCCCATGTCAGTTATGTAATATATATCCAAGAACCCACATATTCAGTGGCTTGAACATGAGAGGCTTGTCCTTATAATGAGCCAACTGGTCAACTTCAGAATTACAGGACTGTTGTTGATGTACCCATAGAGCCAAGAACTGAAAAGCTCAGGTCTACCTTATTCCTAAATTTTTTGACTTCCATATATACAAGGTTGTCTCACACAGTGACACTAAACATGCACACCCTTGATGAAAGCTTTTATCAGCAGTTTCAGAAAGGAATTGCTGTCAGTGTGTCTAAAATGTGTGCACTGAAGAAATGAAAAAGAAAATCATGTGCATGCTTACATGCCGCTGAGTTTCCAACTAAAAGATACTTTGGCATTTCAGTCTTTTATAACGTGACCTCTTCAGGGGTTTGACTCATTCATGTGATCTGAACTTCTCAGCCACGAATAAAACAACAGAGCTAATAATACGAAACATGTATTATACTGTCCTTAGGAGGTATTTATAGTGTTAAGATACAATACAGTAAATTGGCAACTGTGTTCAAAATCAGGATGCATTTTCAGAACGTTTCATATGAATCTAGGTCACATTTTAAAATAAATATCTGTACACACGCCCAACTATTAACCAGAACTTTAGCCTACACCAAAATGCCTCCCAGTGTCACTTAGGCATAAACATGAATCATTTTTGTCAAAAGTCTCTTTATGCTTGTGTAATGGAAAAGTGTTTAAAATTTTAAAATCACAGAAGTAAAAATATTAGAACAAGGAGGATTTTTAGATTCTAGATCTATCCCCATGTCTATCTATAGAGGTGGAAAGAAATGCCCAGAGTGACCACACGATTTACCAAAAATTCTACTGCTGTCTGTCACTGAGTAGCTCGGTAAGTTTGGCTAGTCCATTCTCTTGACAGTCTGAATATCTAGGTCTGCAAAATAAGATGACTGCAGTAGGTCCCACACAGATTGAAGATGTCATTTCTCTGCAAGACTAGAAGCTCCATGCTAGGATATCGTCACTTCAAAAGCAATACATAGGAAGAAGAGAAGATTCTGAAATGACACTTGGCACTACTAGTGCTCTGGTTTGTTGATATTAGAATCTCAGCTTAATACTATAGCAACTGCTGATATAAACCACTGAGAAGCAAAACCAGAAGAGAAAAATTGTGTGCCTACTCAACCTGGCAAAAGCAACTAAAAATCAAGCGAGGGTAATGGTCAATTTTTCCTCTTCTTTCTTGGGGTCTAGCGAGCCTCTCTCTGGTTCCTGCCTCAAGAATTTCTCCTCAAGGTTCCCTGGAGCCCGGAGAGTCCAATCTTTAACCTAACCAGGAACAAAGACACATTTCCTCCTGCAAGACTCTCTGCCTGCTCCAGTAATTCAAAAATCTTATAAAAGACTCCATGCTCTGGAGAGTTACACAATTTAGTATCTTTTAATCAGCTGTCTGTCTTTTTTCTGAACTTTCTGTGAAACTTTAAAAAAAATTACATTTTCATTATAGTACAAACAAAGGGTTGGTATGTGTAATGAAATTGACAAATTCAGTCTTTGGGGACTGTGTCGTGATCACTGGTTTTGCTTTAACTACATTTACTTATCTTTCATTTCT